CTAACCATCTTTTTCACCAAACACGCAGGGGCGGATCCAGGAATGAAGAGAGGGGTGGGCTAAGCAGAAAAAAAAATTGTTATTGCAAACAAAAGGTTTTGTTTAGCCAGGTTTGTTATCGAATCAAGATTTTTCAAACTACTAGAGTTCGAGGGTGATTTCGAATACTCCCTCCCCCGTCCCCGAAAGAAGTTCACCATTTGACTTTCACACACTTTTATGCAAGTAAACTTACCAGGGGGTAAAGTTTACTGTTTTGACATTGTTTCGACACTGTTTGACACTGTATTGCACTGTTTGGCATTGTTTTGATGTAGATAACTTTCCATTTAAGGAAATGAGAACTTAAATTAGGGACATCCAAATAAGGAAAGTGGGAACTTCATTCGGGGACGGAGGGAGTATAATTTAACGACCAGAGCTTAAATAACTTTTTTGAACTTGAACACATGCTAGATTTTGAGTTCGAATGGTTATTCAAGTCAAGTTTGAGCATAGTGGTATTTGGTTCGATGCGACTCAAGCTTGTCGATAACTCATAAATTATAAGAATAAATTTTATCCTAACATTTAAACATTTTTAGTGTAATTTTATAAATCTATTAAAACACTAAAAAAGAGAATTAATACATCAGTTTTATTCAAGTCGAGTTTGAGAATAAATGAATAGACACTATTTTATTATCTACTCAAAAATTCAATTAATAATTATAACACTAAAAAGAGTAATGCACAAAATATTAGATTAAAAGAGTATTAGTTATATGGATGGTTGGACAACTGGACTCGGCTAGAGGCAGCTAGACGGACTATATAGGATTGTATAATAATACTTCGTACGCGAGGTTTTGCTCTCATCATTTTTCCCACGGGAAATTTGTTGATTCAGTCCCGTAACTTATAGCTATATCCGATATTGGTCCTGTAACTTTATAAACTTGCAATTTACATCCCGTAACTAATAAGTTGGTGCAATTTTGGTCCTTCTCTGCCGGAACTTATCAATTTCGCCGGAAAAAGACACATCACTTGCCACATGGAATATTATTTGGAACTCATTTGCTGACTCAATATTGACCCTTAGCTAGAGTTAAAAAACCAGAGTACGAAAGCTCTTCGCTGAGTGCGTGCACAACCATACCAAGCCTATTATCAGATCTGTAAAAAGGGGAAGAACATATAACTCTACCTGAAGATTTCTCCTGAACTAAGTCGAGAGAGTGAGTTATTCTTTAAATATGCTAGTAACGGCTCTTGATCAGACAAAAGTTTATGGAGTGTGATTGTGGTAAAAAGGTTTCTCTTCTAACTTCTTGGACTGATAACGATCCTGGAAGGAGGTTTCGTTTGTGCGCTAGAAGTAGAGTAAGAAATTCAGCTTTTTAATTTAAATTGTTTGCTTCTTTTTTACTAAATAAACTAGAAATTTAAGAATAGCATTTGAATAATAAATTTGTTTGAAAATTAAAATGTATTTTATATTTTAAGCTAGGTTCTGTTAATAAAATTACCATCTTCTATTTGTTGGGGGCATTTGATAATGTATTTTTGTGTTCAAAGCAGTAAAAAGTAAGTTAAGCTTCATCTTGTTATGATACAGACAGAAGGTTGCATATTTTTTGAATGGGCGGACCCACCTATGTGCCATCGTTAAACGATGATAATTCCGGGATTGGTTAGAAGACTCAATTCAAAAGAGGAAGAGGTTGTAAAGTTGCAGACTAAAAATAAAAGGCTCCTCATAGTTGTTGTGAGGCTAGTGTTTTTTGCTCCTGATCTTTCTGATGTTAAAGATGTGAGAAGTGAAGATGATGTAACATTTCAAATGCTTTATTCTTAAAACATGAATCCAGAAAGCTTTAAACTTCATTCAAAATGCTCATGCTGCAACCAAGAAGAAATAATTTTTTAACTCTAGCTAAGGGCCAACATTGAGTCAGCAAATGAGTTCCAAATAATATACCATGTGGCAGGTGATGTGTCTTTTTCCGGCGAAATTGGTAAGTTCCGGCAGAGAAGGACCAAAATTGCACCAACTTATTAGTTACGAGATGTAATCTGCAAGTTAATAAAGTTACAGGACCAATATCGGGTATAGCTATAAGTTACGAGACTAAATCAACAAATTTCTCTTTTTCCCACACTGGTTTCATGGAATGTTTACCCTCTGGAGTGCCTTATAAATATATCACTCCTTGCTTCAATTCCATCCAGCAACGACTGATTGAGTTGTGCCCACAGCTCCGTATAAATTTTTTGGACCACCTTTTATCATTAGATTTCTCCTGACGCCGTACTTAACCTACGCGGTGCCTTTAGAGCTTCTTAGACTTTGGGATGGGCTGAATATTAGTTTTGGGATGGGCTCAAAACTAAATCCATTTCTATTCTAATAAAAAAAATTGGGCTGGGCTGGAGCCCACCCCTGCCCCAACATACATCCGCCCATGCAAACACGTAACATTTGTTTTCGCGTGCCGAATTGTGTAATAAGCAGAAAAATTAAGGTTGGAGTTACTTTTCTGGCTGTATTGGCGCGTAAGATACTGTAGATGACCATTTTAGCTATTTTTACATATAATTTTTTCTTTATTTTATTAACAAAATATATTTTAAAAATAATTTTGTCTTAAATCAACAGAATCAGTCAATGCAGTCACTTCAGCCAGAACTTCATAAATTTCAGCAGAATCAGTCAAAACATCCGATTTTCATGCTACCAAACGGGCTCTATGTTTGAAATGCATACTAACTATTTTCTCACTTTCTCTATTGAGTTATATTTGGTATACTCCATTTTGGGTACCCCATTTGTACCCTTACTTGTGTGTTTCAGAAAAGACCATTTTTTAAATTCCATTTTTACTAATTATTCCATTTTTACTAATTATTTTTATGAACCACACAAGTAAGAAGTACAAATGGAGTATTCTAAAATGGGTACCTATAGTATTTTTCTTCTCTCTTAGCTCTAAGTTTTTCTTTCTGCAACCTGACTTTCTTGAAATCTCATTTGTTGTTTATATTATTCTATCACATTGGCTAATATGGAGTATCTTTTTATACCATGAACTAATCATATTCTAAATTTTTATATTTTATTTTGATGGTGTGACATAGGTGTATAAGTGTATTATATAAGTGAACGTCATCAACTATATGTCTATATACTACGTACATGTCAAGTTTACTTGCACTTGTAGTGCGTTTCCAAACATCAACACATTCCATCATTGATTAAATCGAACCCGAATTCCAATTTTAATGGCTAAACTTAAAAAGAAACATCAGCCCGTTTAAAACGAGCATTCGTTCAAAATGAGCTTTCATAAATTGTGGCTCAAAATAAATTTAAAGAAATGAGTCACCAATCTGACCTAGCTGCCTCATAGTACCCGTTTAGGCTGTCCGCAATCAAAGACATGAAAATCCCAAATTTGAATAGACAGCACTCTTATTCGAGAGAGGAAATGCTTTGGCCAGCGAGTCCCATAAAAAAAATCCGGGAAAAGGTGCAAATAGGCCCATGTACTAACCAAAAAAGGTCAAATAAGTCTTTATTTAGGAGTCTTTGTCCGGCCGTCGCCATTTGGAGTGGTTCCCGGTGGAATTTTTTTATGAAATTTTTTGAGCATCTTATTCATCAAGTCTAGTTTGCTCATACCAAATTTCAGCTAAAACCTTAATCGGGAAGGCATTCAAATGAATTCTTGAAGATAACTGCGCTTCTAACTTCGCAGTTATTTTCAAGAATTCATTTGAATGCCTTCCCGATTGAAGTTTTAGCTGAAATTTGGTATGAGTAAACTAGACTTAATGAATAAGATGCTCAAAAAATTTCATCAAAAAACTTCACCGGGAACCACTCCAAATGGCGACGGGCGGACAAAGCCTCTTAAATAAGGGCTTATTTGACCTTTTTTGGTTAGTACATGGGCCTATTTGCACCTTTTCCCAAAAAATCCTAAACTACTTTAATCTCCTATTTCAATTTTTATAAAAGAAATACTCCGTATAACATTTTATTATTTTTATATGACATTAATATTGCATATATAAAATAAAAAATATAAAATTTCAACCACAGAGGATTTTAGGAATGTTCCAAATTTATTTATTTTTATATCAGAATGTTTGTCTTTTTAAATCATAACTATTGCAAAATTAATTTGGAAAAATATTGGTGTAAAATAATATAAGTAAGACTTAAATAAAAAAACTTTGCTGAATGAATATGTTGGCGGAGCTGAATTGTAGGGGGAACTGAATTGACTCGGCATATACATAAAAACTGGTAGAGAATTTGATTTATTGACGGAGAGGATTGATGTTAACCCTTAGACGAACTTTTTAAAGCGTGAAAGGTAGAGGTTTCAAAGCGTGTCACGGGTCACCGGACATTGGCCAGTTTAAGAATGAACCATGGGCATGGCAAGGTTTGTGGGCTACTTTGTATTCGGCCCGCTAAAAATCACTAATGACTATTAACTTCTACTATTGTAAATTTGTAATGTATATGACTAATTTTTATCATATTGTCTTGTATGCTTTGCAAATTGATTAATCCGTAATATGGTTTTAGTTTTAGCTCTCACGGTGCAACTATGAATTAGAATTAATATTCGGCCTAAAAGGTGAAGAATAATGAGTTTTTCTATTATATTCAACATTGTAATGAAATTCTTTTTATGTTTTTAGGTATCATCATTTCGCTATATTTTTCGATTATATTGTGTTGCACAATTTGCTTATTTTCAAGATTTAAAACTAAAAAATTAAACCTCTTAAATTTTACCTAGCATTTTGTATGCTGGATCTTTCTTTTGGTTTTTATGAACATTTCATGTGAACTTGTGGGTTTGATGGTAATTACTAATTGTAAGATTTTTCCAAATTTTTTAACATTATTTTGGCATTGTACCGCACCACTTTGTATTGTTTCTAAATGACATGATACCGAATGGTTCCAACCTTAAAACTTGACTAATCACACTGTTGATTGGAAACCTCATTGATGCATTACATGGTTCGCTAATTTGCCAAACCATTCTAAACCGCGCTCGACCATGTGTTTTACAAGTGTCCAAATTTGATATAGTCTATATTTAATTTAAATCTAGTCTGATATGATTAATTCTAGTCTCAAAGTAAAAGCATTCTTGTAATTGTAAACTAAAAGCAATCCAAATTTAAGTAAAAAAAAACATCCATACCCATATACTCCGTAATACATAGTCATGAATTCAAGAATTACAGGAATAATACTGCTTATATTTTGTACCAAGTAATCAAGTATCCATTAATAATCAACGACTACGTCAACCGGGGCGGTGCAAGATAGCAACCTCCGAAAGAATGAAACCACAGCCTTTCGAAACCTCAAACTTTTAGATTTCCTCCTCCAGCAAAGGCGGCGGCGTCCGGCGGCAGCACATTGGGACTTCACCTTTCCGGTGGTTTCCTCCTCCTTCCGGTTACCCTCATCGTCGCTGTCTTCCCTCGAGAAGGTGTAGCTTCTCAAATACAACTGCCGGCATGATACACTGTCCACCACCCGAGGGTGGCGGCCAGCGCTCACCGAGCGAATGAACTCGGCGTCGGACTCCGGCCATTTATAGAGGTTCACGTAGGTCGCTCTCACGACGGGGACTTTCACATCTTTTTCACAACTTGGTGAGCAAACAGAAGCCATTATTTTTTATTGCTATATAGTTTGCTTATTATGTTTTTTATTTCATTGGTCGTCCTTATATAAGTGTGTGAATATATAATGCTGAATATATAATGCTCCGTATTTTATACTACGTATATACACTCCGTAACGTAGCACAATTGGAAGTAGAGGAAAAAAGAGTGTCTACTTTGTATATAGAGTAGAAAATTAGGACTTTGGGATGGTGGTGTTATTTGGTGAGGGTTGCAATGATTTGGCATAATGTGGTTATTAGGTTGGTAACGTAAGAATTGGTTCCACACTTATTGCCCCTCTAATTATTAAGAGTGTAAATGCATACACATGCTCGTTTACTAAAAAAACTACTACAATGTGAAAGCTAAATATTATAGAGTATTAAGATAATTCTCTAAAGAAGATTAAAATCTATCCCATATAAAAAGAAGTGCATAAGTAGGACCATCTTTGTTTTGTTTCTAAAACAGGATTTGTTCACTCCTAATTGAGAAAAGTTTTATACTTCTAATAGAATCAAATAACTCTTATTTTGAGAATAAAATATACTATATCGTACCTCTATTGTTTTTCAATGGCGATGATTTGAATTTCATGTTTGCCAATACACAACTTTAATTGTACCTATATTTAATTATGTTTAAATAAGCACTATAAAAATTAAATATTCTCGACATTCACATTTTGAGAAGTTTTAAAATATTTTTATATAAAATTATTTGATTATATATATTAGTAGAAAGTTTTGGTCAAAGTAAGGTGTGTGAATAGTGCAAAATTCAAATTATTGCAACTTAAAAAGAACTGAGGAAGTATACAATTATTCATATTGTACACTAGCTTTTACTACTTGTATGTTTTACTCCTATGTTGACCAATTTTCAAAATTTATCACATATGATGTTTCTTAAAAATTTAATGAAGAGTAAAATATTATAATTCCGGATGTGCAATCTCATGAATAAAAAATGTGGTACCATTTTTGTAAATAAATTGAACATTTTCTACTAACAGAATCTCTGCATTATCTTAATCGGGAATGTGCACGGCTTAAAATCAAAATGTGAAATCATTTTGAATGACTGTCATTTCACACAAAGTAGACTATATGTAAACACACACACACACGTATCTTACAATCTTTTCATAGCCAATGAAGGTTGGGGCATTTAAGGAAGAAAAAATATAATGCTGGTGTGATCATCTAGCTTAATTGAGTGGTACACTATGCTTTACCATCCGTACTCTATTAAAAGAGTTTGACTTTTTCGTTTTATTTTTGTTTGTCATCGCTTGGCCATACCCTTGCATCCATTATCTTCATCTCTCATGTCGGCTTCAACACACCATTCATTTTCTTTGTCTCCAGTGCACCGACCTTGTCCTAACCTTAGCCGGCTGCTTCGGGTTGCGCCCTAACCTCAACTCCCATCATTTTCGTCTTGTGTGGTAATAATGTGGTGGTGTTGGATGAAATTAAGCTTTTGCATAAACTTTAGTATTGAGTATGTGTTTATGTTTATTTATGCTCAATGTCTATTGGATACCTCTTGATTTTTATTACATACCAGCCATTTCAGGCTCTCGCATTTGATGCATTTATTTTGTGCATGCAAAGACATGCATATAATTTCTTGATCTTATCGTTCTTAATTGTCTAGATATTGTAGACATGTTAACTGTTGAGTTTATATGGTCACTAGTGTCTAAAAATTTTGGATTCTGTGATTTTGAGCCAAATCAATATAGCAACCACGTGATAATGTTGCTTTGATCTGATCACGAAACATTTATATGAAGATCTTTGAGCTTATGATTTAAATCCTTTGCACAATTTCCATATTAAGATCATAACATGATCAAGATAAATTTCGTAAAGGTAAGAGCCCCAATACTTGCTAGCATCATTTCTCTACATGTTTGCTACACTACAAAAAAATTGGTCCGTAGTGGCGTGTTAAAGCATTTGTCCCACACCGGAAAGCTATAAAACAATTAAACACTATATAAGGCTTTGGCCGGGCTACTCCTCCTATTAGGTTGACCTTTTAGGATGGAACCCCAGATCTTAATATGGTATCAGAGCCAATTCCGGTTGTGGTTTGACGGCTTGTGTGGCATCCATGATTAAGGGTAGCTTGTTAAGGGTTTGTTTGGCCCGTTTATACACCCCGATATTGTCCAACCTAGTTCGGCTGAGGGGGCGTGTTAAACCATTTGTCCCACACCGGAAAGTTATAAAATAATTAAACACTATATAAGGCTTTGGGCTACTCCTCCTATCAGGTTGACCTTTTAGAATGGAACCACTAGTCTTAATAAGGAGGGACGTTGTTGCTCTTATTTTGGATGCTATAAGTATACATATTTGTGTGCATCCTAAAAGTTGATAAGTTCATTTTTTGCTTCTTATTTTGGTGCTTTAATATTTTAATTATATTTGTGTGCATCCAAATACTTTTCAATTGGAAAGTAAATTTAAAAGTTACCATTATTTTGTGTTCTAATAATTTTATACTCCGTGTATTAGGTTTTATGTCATGTTATTAGTTTGCCTAGAATCCCAGTTTTGAAATCTTTTGAATCTCAGAAGACTTCTAAAGGTAGTTTATCAAAACATATAATTTTAGCTAACAAACTACTAGACCTTTTGGCCATTTCTCTATAAACTATTTGTAGAAATGTCTAGGTGACACTCTTTTAGTTGTTTTAATTGTTTGGATTAGTTTCAGTTTGATATGCATTTATATATGATATTTTCACAACGTATTTTCAAAAGTCTATTGGGAAATGTGATAATGTATTTCTATCTCCAATGCTTATCTCTTTTGGAACCTTTGTCAATCACCACGAGTCTTTACCTTCATTGTTTTGCGATCTCTATTTAATGAAATTACATTGGGTTACAAAGTAGCAATGCTAGAAGCATAAAGCTGTATCAAGATTAACATTTCAAATACTTAGGCTCTAGCATTTAAATGGGTTGACTTGTGGTTAATTGCATGCAATCGGTACCGTGTGTAGTTGAATTATTTGATGTTTGATGTTTGAATTACAATTATTGTTGAGACTGTGTCGATAACTTCACTTACAATTCCTTGTTGCCATCTTGTGCATAATTAATGGGAACTTAACATAATGGGACATTTTAGAAGTTTAAAGTTTTCAAGAGAAGCTTTCTAAGAGAAGCTACTTATCCATTTAGAGGATAAGTGTGGACAACCAAACATATGCCAAAGTGACAACATTTTTTACGTGTTTCTTAAATATGAAGTATTAGTCAAAGAGACATCATGTACATTGTGGGATGAGGTTGCTTGATCGTGTGAGGGGAAGGGTGCACAACTCCCCAATGGGTTTGGAAGTGAACTGGCTAAGTGGGGATGAGGCTAGAACGATTCATCCCCCAATCCCATAATCAAATTCAAAACTAAGCAATTTCTCCTCCCATCTATGTTATCTTACAAGCATGAATGTTTGGCTTGAAATTTTTGTTAATGTTTAAATCTTTAAATTGATAAAATACTTAGTTTATTGGGTAATAGCAAGACAAAGTTTGATATTGAATTGAAATATATCCTTGTAGTTAAACCTCCCAAATTAGTCTAGCTAGTATAGACTTGGTTTGCATGAAATTTCAATTTTTAAATCCTTTGAATAATAATAAAAACGTCTTTGTCGGAAAAAAAACCCTAAGCGTCGCCGTCCTGGCAGCATGGTGCGGTGCCGTCATCTTTCTGCATGGCTCAACAGAATCTTGATCGCAGTGTCGTCAGCGCCAAATGAGTGTTGGATGTAGGCCAGTTTTTTCTTCAGCGTTCCTGTTTGCAACTTAATTTGCAGTGCTCTTTCCCGGGTTTATCCCGAAGTTTTAGTCTCCCTCTTATGTGGTGAAGGTTGTTCTCCTTGCCGGTGTAAACCTGGTCGGGTGTTGCTTTCTATTCTTTTTTGTTGGATTATGAGGAGCGTTAGCTGGAATTTCCGGGGCTAGGGAACCTTGCTACGGTACAGTTCCTGGCAGATGTTATCTCAACCCATCATCCCTCCATTGTCTTCTTGATGGAGACTCTAGCAGATTCCTCAAAGATGGAAAATGTCCGAAGATCTCTAGGTTTTCAACATGTATTTACTGTGGACTGTGAAGGCCGAAGTGGGGGATTAGCATTGCTATGGAAGGATGATATTGATGTCAAAATTGAGAGCTCCTCACGGCATCACATTGACATGCAACTGGCAGGAGGTACAAATCAAACACCTTGGAGATTCACCGGTTTATATGGTTTTTCGGAACGTCCTCGGCGCAAGGAATCTTGGGAATATAATTACTTAAGAGCCTAGCAAGTTATAGTGATCTTCCGTGGTTGGTGGTGGGGGACTTTAATGATATTATGCATGATTATGAAAAACGAGGGTGTTGTCCTCTGCCACCATGGATGATGGCGGGTTTTCGAGATGCGGTTTGGAGTAACGGATTATTAGACTTTCCTTTTGATGGCTATCAGTTTACATGGGAAAGAGGACGAAGCACGCCAGCATGGGTTGAGGAGAAGTTGGAGCGTATCCTGGTCTCGGAGGGCTGGATTGATTTTTTTGGTGATGCATGGGCAACATCTGTAGTAGGCAGTAGTAGCGACCATCTACCTATTTATGTGAAGTTTACTAGATGTGAGGCTAACCGGAAGAGGAGGGGTTTTAAATTTGAAAATCTATGGTTAAGGGAGCAAGAATGCCGCAACATTGTAGAGAAAGCCTGCAGATGCTGCGATTCCCAGCCTTTGCATGATAGGCTTCGGTTTTGTGGGAAGGAGTTGGATAAATGGGGGACACACTTACATCGTGGATTTCAAAGGCGTATTAAGGGCTAAAAAGAAAAATGGATGAATTAAGGGGGCGGTCAGACGTGGCAGGTGTGGCCATGTTTTCTAAAACAAAGGAGAACTATTTGCTTCTATTGGAAAAACAAAACGATTTCCGGAGACAAAGGGCGAAGGAGTTTTGGTTACAACAAGGGGATATTAATACGAATCAGGTGAGTGGGTTTCTGAGCAAGGGGCTCTGCG